CACCGCCACCGGCACCCCGCCCCGGCCCCCACCCCGGCCAGCCCTGCCCCGGCACCCCGGCCAGCCCTGCCCCGGCACCCTGCCCCCTCTGTGCCGGGACACCCCCTCCCTCCTCAGGCAGCCCCTCCAGCCCCCCGCCCTCCGGCCAGCTCTGCCCTCTGCGCCCCGGGGCGCTCCTTCTCTGCCCAGCCCTGCCCCGGCTCTCTGCCCCTCCGCACCCCGGAGCCGCCCTCGCAGCCTCCCCGCTTATTCAGGGGATCCTTTTCACCAGCACTTCCCCTCTAGCTCTCTCCTAAGCACCGTTGCCCAGCCTCTGTGCTAACACTCTTCTCCCTCCCAAATCCTTCTCCTCTGAGGTTTATGCCAGGAGCAGATGTATCTTAAAAACCCATCAGTCGTTTCTGAGCGATGTAAAAGAAGGAATGACTTTGTCTCATTTTGAAGACCAGAAAAACAAGGTAACTTTACAAACGGAGACACTCTTGGCTTGTATTCAGGCATGAAGTCTGTTGTTTGTATTTGTGAGCTTGTTGGGCAGCAAGCATCCATTTGGGATTGGTCTTTCAGCGTCCTCCCGATCACTCGCAGAAGTCAGATTCTCCAGGGGATCTTTCAGTCTCTGTGTAACCCGGGTTGTGGCACTGGTGCTATTTTGCAATTTGAATACAAAAGGTGAGCTAAACCATCTTCCTCTACTTGTTAAAAGCTTTAAGCCAGATTAAAAAAAAACAAAACCAAAACACCCCAAACCAAACAAAACAGAAGAACTGGGAGAACAATCACTCCTCTCCCAAAGGGCTGCTGTGCATTAGGTGAATAGCATGTTTTTTTCTAAAGTTTCTATCTAATAAATGCTCTGAAATAATCTTCCACGCCACATACATAATAAAGGCCACATAAATCTCAGAACAAAGTCTGTATGTTCTGTGTTTTCAAGACAGTTCCTTGTGTTTTCAAGACAGTTTCTTTTTCCCAGGTTGCCCTTCAAATGGGAGAGAAA